GGGGGGGGTGTGTGCGGATGCGGTGATTGGAGACTGGGGAAAGGGAGTGGTTGGGTGAATTGAGTGGATACATGGCATGAGCGCTTTGGCGGTTGCCCAGGCCACATAAGGGAGAGGGGAGAGGGAGTATTGAATGGAAAGGGAGGGGATCCGTGCTGCTGGTTTTTGCCGGGGTACGGAAAGGGTTCGGGAAGGGGACGTGGACTGCAGAGGGCACAGTAGATGGAAGGGGGGAGGGGGAGGGTTGGCAATGCATGAGCACATTTTTTGGGTGTTGGATTCAAGACACGGGAAAGGGTTGGGGGTGGTGTGAGGAGGGTGATGTGTGCGGATCTCGCGCGCGGAGATTCGAGGCAGGAGAAGGGGGTTGGATGGGTGGGTTAAGTGGATACGTGGCATGGATCCTTTGGCGGCTGCCTAGGCCATGTAAAGAGGAGGGAGGAAGAGGTGATGGGTGGAAAGGAGGAGAAAGTGTACTCCTGGTTTCCGCCGTGGATACCCGGAATAGGGGAAGAGCTAAAGTATCGCTTGCTTCCAGCGTGCTCTTGTAGTGGGATGGAGAGGAGCTCAGAATTTGCTTTGCAAGGAGGATTTCAGGACAGAGGAAAGAAAGGGAAGGAAGACACAAGTCAAGGGCTCGGGGCAAAAACTGCAGACAGCAGTAAAGAGAAAAAGAAACCAGCAGTTCAAAGAAGCCAGCAGAAAAAGTAAATTAAAACAAACCTAAACTTATGAATAAAAGGAAAAAAAGCGAAATCAAAGAATTGGAGCCTGTGAACAAAAGCAAAAGTAAACGAAAACTAAGCTCTTGTCTTACAAAAACTCGTCTTTGATAAGCGGTCTTCGTATTATGAAGCTGATGCTTAGCTAAAGCTGAAAGCAAACAAGTTCCATTGGATTTACAAAAAAATTGCACACACAATTCCATAGTGTTGCCTACAGCAGCCTGCAACTGTGCACAACAGTTATACTTCTGTTTTTTGCATTCAAAATCTCACAGAAGCAAATCTTGACTTCATCCCCATGCATCCAGTCTACCCCGTTTTTGTTCAGTTCGTATCCTGCAATTTAACTTATTCCCTTCCTGGTTTTCTTAAGGATCAGATTCATAAACAAGGAGGTCCCCTACTGATGACGGGTTTTTAAGAACAATTTCCACTAGCTAAGCCTCAGTTTTTCGCTCATATTCATAGAGTTAGATTTGCTTTAATTTACTTTTCTTTGTGGTGCCGTGTTTTCTTTTCCTCTTTACTGGTTTCTCCAATTCTTGCCTTGAGCTCCTGACTTGTATCTTCGTTCGTTTTCTCTACCCTGTCCCCAAATCCTGCCAGCAGGCAACATCCTGGCTCCTCTCTACCCCCGTATAAGAGCACTGCACAAACAAACAGTGTTTCACCTCCCCCTACCCCAGGTATCTACAGTAAAAACCAGAAGCACACTTCATTTTTCCCATCCGTCACCCCTTCCCTTCTCCCCTCCAAATGTACATGACCTAGCCAACCTACAAAGGGTCTACGCCAATTAGTCCTTAAATCCATCTATTCTAGACCCCTGCCTTGCCTTGAACGAAACCCGCAACATGCTACTCATCCTTCCACCTGTCACATTCAAACTCCCGCCATCCGCCGGGGGCAGCCTTACAAACCGTCAGAAGACAAAATTTTTCGCGGATCACGCATGACATCGGCCGAGCCGAGTTTTTGTGATTGCCTGCTTCAGTCGGTACAGTGTGGTTTTGTTGCCAGCAACTTCGTCGTGTTTTCCGTCAGTTAATTAAGTCTCATTTCTTTCCCATATGGGTTTGTGATGTTAGGCAAGGGATTTGATGCTGAGTGTGAGCTAGTAATAAAAGGGTTATCATCTTAAATTCAGCATCAAATTTTTTGTTGAGCATGAAAACCCGTACAGTTCCCCTCTTCCTTAATCTCCGTCTCTTTCTCCAACTCCTACCTCAAAGCAAGGTCTCAGCTCCTTCCCAGACATTACTCCAGCCCCACGTATTGAATTTCCTATTTAACTGCATCTACAATTCGGTGAGAAATGGGGTGGGGGAGGGAGTGCGAAGGAGGAGGGGAAGAAGAGCATACCAACCAGAATCGTAACTCACACCCTAACACGGCCAAGAGCAATCGGACCGAGCGAATTTTTGGTAGTACTAGCCTTTGAAGATGGCAGCGGTTTGTCAGCAAAGGTTCTGGGATGGATAGCGTATGTCCCGGCTTAGGTACCATCTGCCCGGAGCCTCGCTAACGGCTTGTTACTCTTGGCCGAGCCGTCCTCAGACCACGTCGAGTGCCGTCGTTTCTCAGAGGGAGAGAGAGAGAGAGGGTAAGATGCGTAAAGGACAGAAGAGGGGCTCTGATTCCGACAGGTTGTTTTCCCCTGTGTTGGCACTCGGCTCGTCCGTTTTCTCCTCGGATCCGCCATGCAGTATCGCCACTCGTATTTCTAAAAGACTAGTTTTGGAATGTAACTTGTTCGTAGTTTTCATATTTTGCTGTGGCATGGACCGGCGTGTTTCCTTAGGACCTGTTATGAGATGCCATCGGTCTATGTTTTTCATACTTTCCTTAGGACGATCCATTTGCGCTGGGAATCAGATTCTTGCCCCGCTGTTTGTGGCTGGTGAATAAGTGGAAGTCGTGTACCTTCTGGCTCAGTATAAAGGAATAGGTGCGCTCGGCATCGCATCTCTCTTCTTTTGCTAAAATCGCAGCGAAAATATGGGCATTAGTTGCTGTGCAATTCGAGCCTAATTTAAGTGCAGATAAAGGGCGATATTCTGATTTTCTTTCAAACTCACATTCAATTTTACAGGTCGCCGGACGCGAAGCCACCGTAATGCGTAAGAAATTGAGGGATGAGAAGTGCAGCACAGCGTAGGACTCCTAGTCGTCCGCGCCCTTCTTACAGTTTGTGGTTAGCTCTAAATGGTTCATTCATTGTTTTTCAAGACTGAGTTTCCGAGATTAGAAAAGCTTTTCTTGCATCTCCTGCCAACTTCCTCCTCCTTCTCCCTGCCCCTTATTCTCCGTGCTACTTCTTCCACCTACTTTTTTTCGGTACGATGAAGACAAAATACAGTGGCTTGTAGCCGGTA